CTGGCCGTCCTCCTGTACGTTGGGCAGACTCTCTGGCATATCGAAACAACGTGTATGATCCTGTGTCCCTTAAGGTGATCATTCACTGGACAACTAAGGCTCAAGATCGAGAACAATGGAAGAGAAGTTGGGACCCGCGCAAGGCCAACCGCCATGCCGATGGACGGGTCGTCTAAGTATCCTAAGTAAGTACATATACATGCAAATGGTCCACTAGTAATGAAAGCCTCCGCTGGAATCCTCCCCCGGCGAACTTTACATGAAGTGGAATTTTCCCCTGGAACCTTATGCAGTTATTATTGAATGCTGTTGCCGCTACTTCCGCCTTTCTCAACTGCGATGGCCTAGCTTGCGCCATGCTTTCTCGTCGATTATCGACAGAGATGCACAGGTATCTAGCTCAAAGGGAATTTTCCTCCCAATGATTTCCATCTCCAGCATTCTCGGCAACTCGCTCGACGACCGGCCTTTCACTGCATCTTCGACCGTATCAGCGGCTATCATTTGCTTACCCAGGCCTATCTCATTTTCATTGTGAATGCCCCTTCGTGCAGTAGTAGGACTGTCGTCCTCACCTTCGTGGCCGTCTTCTATTCTGCATATTTTACTCCGCAACGGCTTTCCACGTTCAGCTCTACGATAGTGTGTGAGCCTCGATATCGTTACCATGTTCACGTTTTGACTTACTAAATCCTCACCACTGTCGGAGCTACCGGCGGACTCCTCACACCAGTGGACCTGGCGGGAGACTTTACGGCCTGCTCTAGCGCCTTCCAACACGTCACTGCTAGGTGGCCCTTTCTTCTTGCATACATTACAGTATGCTCGTCTGTTTCCTGAAACATTCGTAACCGGCGTGGCCTAGCAATCCACAAATCCTACAATTCACATTTTTCCGAGCTGGGTCCTTGCTCGGCCTACCTTTTTGTTCTCTAGCCTGTGTACGCCATGCCATCTGCCGGTTACCTCATCTCTCCTGGCTCTCACTTGGGGCACTCCTACGTTTGAGCCTGTTGGCCTTCCTTCAAGTGGGGAGCATTCACTTTTACACGTTCGAAGGCTTCCGCCTGCTCTAAAGCCTCCCTCGAGGACAACTGCTCCTTCTCTAAAAGGCGCTTTCTCGTCTCTATCGAAAGCAACCCACCTATAAAAACCATCGTCACTATGGCATCTCGGTATTCTTTGATATGCTCAAGAGAGCAAATATTCGCTGCTTTTTGCAGCTCCGCATAAATTCAAACAGCGCCTGTCTGGAAGCGGTTGGCTGATGTTCGCAGCGCCTGTCCCTGGGTCTCCGACATCAGGCCAAACCGCTCGCCAATAGCTTTTCCGGCTGTTAACGCTGCTCCATAGCCGATCGAGATCCTTCAGGCTTCTTCTAATTCGCGTCCCTGCAGGAGTGATTACAGTAACTCGTAATTCGAGTTACCATTACAGTAACTCGTAATTCGAGTTACCCACTTCCTGCAGGAATATCAGCCGCTGGTCCCTTTCTTCTGTCACCTTCCTCAAAACGAGGAAATTGACGAAGCAGCTTCCACCAGGTTCGCCACGATGTGCCCGGGACATGCCGGGGCACGACCCCCATACACTTCGGCACCGGAGTCAGCCATCGTGATTCTGCCTCCTTCTTCTTTCTTGCAGCCTCCATGAGCGTCCTCCACTACCGCCATCCTGTTCGCCTGATCGCCAATTAACGTGTGTGCACGGAAGACGAGGGGTAGGAATGATTCATTGTCCACAACATTCCCCTTTTATACATCCTCTTCATCTAACATTTATCACTCTCTTCCATCACTTCCTCATTCTTCATTTCCGCACTCACATCACCCTCTGCATTATCTTTCCAAGTCCCATGACACGATCATGCGGAACGGTTAGCCCGACCAATGGACACAAGTGTAAGGAGAGGATACGATAATTGCACGCAGTACGCAATTACAGAAATTATCCTAGAAACTTTTCCGCAACGTCCGCCAGATCGGAGGTATTTACCGAGATGCTCGCCTCTTTGAAAAAATTTCCCGCGCGCGCCGTTCAAACAAATGTCGCAATGGGGCGAACTTTCTCTCAGCTCCACATTGGAAGTTGCGACTAAGCGATGCTCACCCTCACAGCGCGATTTCGGCTCTTCTGAGTTTCAGGTTCGTAGTTAGCACCGTACTGATACCACACCAAGTTAGAGAAAATAGTGCCGAAAAGAAATTAAGGAATGATTACGAGAGAATGTGGTCGTTCGCACCTCTATCGGTAGGAAATGTCTTTGGACAGCCTCGTAATGATTTCAGAGTATGGGAATTAGACAGCATCGTGATTGTGCTTTTTGAACTTTTTGATAGTGTCTACTGGTAAAAATCAGGCTAAGGTTGCCATGAAATGCACCAAGTGAGAACCACTTCCAATGGGTTTTCATTATCGCTCAGGTGACGACGGTACGATGACTGGCAAATCGTTTCAAACACATTGACCTCACCTCATATGATAGCGATTCGAACAATATGTACCTAGATCCAGCATTAGTGAAAGCTCGGTTACCCTCGACGGCTGCCAACATCACGAGTTTGCCGAAAATATAAGATTCTAATCATACATTCTTCATCCTCAATGGTGAAACTCGGCGCAGTATCACTCAGGGTGGGGGCAGCACGCGCCACACAGCGTCAGAGTTACGGAAACCCTCAGGATAGAACTAAGCCTCGGAGGAGAAGAGAAATCCGAGATGGGTTAAGCAATTCACATTCTTTCCAAATCATCCTTCTCTGTAGCTTGGTCCTAAAGCTTATTCCGTATTGCATTCCCTGCCCATTACAAAACACATTGCGCCAAAATCCAAACAAGAGTTTTCAAATGCATCCTATGAGTTCGAGATCCTTCTAACTGGGCAAGCTAATGTAAAAGTGTTGATGGTGTTAAAACTTCGATAATAAACCATCGAAACTTTGCGACTGCAACGAGAACGTGAATGTTTGACACCGTTCATCACCAATTGCTCAATTTCTATGAAAGGCGCCCATAATCAATGGAAGAACTGACGATGAGAGGACTGAAAGGAAATGAAGGCGCTCATCCAGTAAGGGGGGGGGCATCAAGTGGCTGCCCTCACCCCCCCACCCCCTAGACTGCCTACACTCCCCCTGGCGCACAGGTTTCTCGAAGTACGGGACCCCGTGAGCCAGGGGGAGTGAAGCCAGTTCAGGGGTTGGGGGGGGTGGGGGTGAGGGCAGCTATTAGACGTTGCATCACAATGCCCCCCCCCTTACCGGATGAGCGCCGGAATGAACGCTCGCCCGCTTCAGTTATATATCTCTTATGCTTCATTGTCAGGAGCATTTCAGTGCAAGTACTTCGTTCTGAGTTGCATCATTACTCAAACAATCACTCCTCCCGTGTGTTTTAATTTAGAAGAAGAACATTACCGAACAAAAACTACGAACAACAACTTCACAGATTTGGGGAAATTTGTCGTCCATTGTGAATCACATATGTCCTCTTCCAGTCACTCTTCAGATCCCGTCACAGTTGTGTAGCTGAGAGAAAGCTCGCCCCAGTGCGACATTTGTTTGAACGAGCGCGCGCGGGAAAACTTTTTCAAAGAGGCGAGCATCTCGGTGAATACCTCCGATCGTCCGCCACCGTCTGCTCTCTGGCTGCTTTCGAAATTCAATGGAATGCTTTGCTTATTCATGAGCATATGGCCCATCTTGTCATATATGTAGGGGTATTTATTAGTTCTCTGAGCTATTCCAGTGCGCTTAATGGTGGTGAGTGTGGTTTTTTGGAATTTGCTGGCAACCGTATTGATTGGTATGTGATGAATTCCTGTGTTCAGGCGATTCGCTTCAACAGAGAGTTGGTGACTATGAAGTAGTGCGCATCCATGAGGTGCCAGACACGAACGAGGATGTAGTTCGTCGTATTTCCTTTACAGCATTTGGTACTGTTAAGATTTTTCTTTTCGTAACAGCTCTTGATTGACATTTTCGTTGAATGTAAGCGTGTGTTTATTTAAGGGCGTTTATACGTTGCTGTATTGAATCCGGGTACTGATATTTTTGATCCATATGCTCGAATTAGGATAAGCGATGATATGCCAGTACCACTTGATCCGACTGGTCACTATTACGGATACCTCGAAGGTGACTATTTACACATTACATGTAACCCTAATTCGCGGAAAGTCTCCGCGTTCTGTGGCAATATATGCCAGTTGCTGTCTCTGTGTGCTCGTTTTGATTAAGGAATCAATTTGAAAGAGGCTTTCTAGAGTATTTCACTGCTATGATTTCCCATATGTGAGTAGGTAAGACGAGCAGCACGGATGGGGAGTATCACACCTCGCGGTCCTTTCGTTATTGGAGGACCATAAGAGCTTTCGGGGTATTGGTTCACTTGTAAGGGGGACGCGGTACGCGGCATGTTCGTGTCCTTCAATGCAAAGCGAAGAATCCGTGGCGCTCAGTGATTTCCGGTCCGGTAATACTTCCGCACAACTCTCTGAAATGTGCAGTTCGGCGCAATGTGGCTCGGGGGGCCACCTCGCAACATCGCGTCAAAATCACGGAAACGCTCCGTTTTAGGACTAAGCTTTTGAAGAGGAGAGGAACTCCGGTGTACGGAAGCAATTTTCGTATTCTCCGGAGTTCGTCCCTGCTGTTTAGGCTTAGTCCTAGATGACTTTTCTCAGAGTGGCCCCCCGAGCCACATTGCGCCGTGCAATTCTTTAGCCACTTACTTCTCAACACATACATTGAAGTGTTGATGAGTATTGCTTGCTCAATATCCTTCCTGCTTTTGATTGTCGGCCTTTTGAAGGAAATCCTTATCATACGGTTGTTTTGTCGCGATTGAAGCCAGACGTCTACATTGGTATGATCTCTGCTGGAAACGATTCCATTTACATTGAACCGGCCTTGTTTCATCACGAATCAGCCAAAGAGCAGTGAGTGTTGCTCATGTTGCTTCTTATTATGTGTTTCTGATGACGGCTTAACCACATTAATGATTGTCACAGAAACCACATGTGCTTCAGGGACGTGCTCGTGTTCCGCTCGAGCAGCTTGGACGGGACCAGTATTTTTCGTAGTTTGAATGAACGAGGTTCATTAGCTCCAGTGCAGGTGAGACTCTTTGTTCTATTTTTATTGTTGTTTTTTATTCTTTATTCGTCAGCATCTTATCACAACAGCAATTCTGTTTTTGATGCGTCCATGCCCAATCATCAATTCTTTGTTAGGAGCCTTTATTGTTCGCACTGGTGTAGAATACGTGGAATGCGCAGAACAAGCGATTTCATACGTATTTTCACCTCTATAGCG